TGTATAAAAGAGATCGGATGTTCAAATAGTGATGACGAAAAGATTTTTCATCACCAAAATCAGCTTTGGGTAGTAACTTTGAGTGGAAAAGTGATATTTTAAAACTTAGGGTGGGAAAATGTCATTTGTCATTAAGGAAAACCTTGGGTGGGAAAAAGTTGTATACTTTTATTATTACAAGTTAGGCAAGGAGGAACATTAGATGATCGATTAGAAGCGGGATAGGCGATGATTAAAGCCAATTCGACATGTGGATTTTTGAAGATTCTTAATTCCCTATAAATATTCCACAATTTGATGGAAAAAATCGTTTTGGGTTTTTGAGAATTCAGATGCAACTCTTTTTGGAATATGAAGATCTGTAGGTAGTTGTAGATCAGAGATTTGTGATACTAGCTAAACAAGCAGAATCTAATGAAAATCTACAAAGGAGGTGTTTCTAAGGAGATTGCCTACATAAAAACATCAAGAAATTAAAAAAAAAAAAAAATGTATGAGACATTCTAATGAAAATCGACAAAGGAGGTGTTGAAGATTTAACTAAAGCTTTAGAAGTTGTACAAAGGAGGTGTTTGAAGATTCATCTGAAGCCTAGAAGTTGTGGGATACCAAAATTTTGTAATTCAACAAAACAAAGCAAAAATTTGTATATCTTCATTTAAGATGAAGCAATCATGATTAGATTATCTGACACGACCCGTCCCGATCCTCCTTATCCCATAGGCTCCCGACGCACCCATGAGACTCGGGTGATCGAGACGTGCCATGTGAGAAAACTATAAAACCTGTTTATAAATAAAACATCATAAAACCCTTCCAGCTAAAACATTTGTAAACACTCATTTTTGTTTCTCACAAATAAATATGACATCATTTGCGAATAAACAAATGCAACTGAATTTTCTTTTACAAAATGAACATATGGTATCAAACTTTTCCATATCTTTTACAATTCAAAACATGAAATAAAATACATGATGAAGAAGTATAAACTTTGCAGCAGAAAATGAAACACAACCATGGAACTTATGATGAAGTAAAGTCGTGTGACCTAACCTTGAGTGGGATTCACTCCTTTGCACGAACACCTTCTTGACCTGGTGAGGGGGAAAGAAAAATATTTGAAAACGAGGGGTGAGTTAGAAATGCTCAGTGAGTGGGGAATGGGTTAGTATTTAACAACACATTTCAATATACAATACAAACACTTATGCGTATAAAATTTCATTTCCATAACACATTTTATAATATAAGCCATCTTTCATAGCAATGCTGAAATCTCTTATTGCAAAACTTCATTCTGAAAGCTATTATGGTAAACAAATCAATACTCATGTTTCTCTACACATATCATTTCTAGAAACATTTGATATACAATTACATTTTCATTTATAAATTTCCATTATAATATATATATTATATATATATATAATATATATATTATATATAATATATCCAAAACATCTCTCAATCACATGTGAAAACTCTCACCCAACTAGTACCTAGGGGTAAATTCGTTTAACCTGGCAAGAGCTACATCGCACGGGACTGAACCAATAAATCCATCCTGCTAGGAGGAATCGGTCACCGCTCAAGCCATCGACCCAGTGAGTCCAAGCATCACTCGAACCAGCACAATCATATCCTATTTAGTGATATCTGCCTTGCTTGGGCCTTCGACCCACTTGGGCCGGCAAAACCAAATCACACAAGATACATCAAACATACATTTTATAACTCAAGTGATTGAATTGACAAATCAAGAGTAAACATTCTACACAAACCATTTCACACTCCAATTAACCAAAACTTATCACTCAAACAAACCAGTCTCACCAAATTAACTGAATTTCTCTTTTTCAACTCAAATCAGGAAATCACAACCAACCAACAAAATCTTTTCATTCGTCCAAAATAAAAAAAAATGAGAACACATGCAAGAGTCATACCAATACATAATTATATACAACATCCGTGAACACAAAGCAGTGTAGGGGTTACATTATCTAATCAGGAAATTGAAGATGTTTTTTATTTAAGAAGAAATCATTAGATTCTTTGAAGATGATGAACCTCAACTAGAGGTTAGACATCTTAATTGGATGAGTTATATTGATCCGATTGAGAAGTTGAAGATTGTCCAGATCATGAAGAACAATATCATGATTCAAAGAATGGAGATAACTATATAGGAGCACAATTGGGATTTGCAAGGTTGAAGTAGAACTAGATCAGGGTAAAGTACTCATGATGCAAGTGACTTCGAGCAATAATTTTGGCATTCATCATCTTGCTTTCTGCTTTCAATTCTAATTCAATTAAATATCTCCACCCTTAATTTTTCACAACCCATTGATAGAATCAGAATTTTGTTTTATTTGAGATTTTAGAAAAAAGAAAAAACAAAATAAATGTGGTGATAGACTATTTTGATTAAACAAAACCAAATCTAGTCTCTCATACATATGTATATATGCAATTTCAAAGCCATTTTCTAATAATTCATTGATAGATGAGAAAAAAAAAAAAAAAAACAGTGGAAGCTTTCACTATCCAAGCAAAACAATAATGCAAATTGAGTAAATTTGTATAGAATTATGAGAAAATTTGTGGTTTTTTTCTGAAACCCTTTGAATTTTCCAGGAAATTGCCAAGAGGAGTGTCATGGGCATGCCCCACCACCAGCTATCCATAGAGACGAAAGTTGAATATAAAATTAAAGAAAAGGCATGCAGTTTCTTTCAGCTTTCACGTGCATAGCCAAAGGAGCATGGCTATACATTTTCTGATAGAGTAATGCTATAGTTATCGAAGGGTGTGTACTAAATTTGTGCGCCAAATAACGTGATAAAATCTTGACCATTGATTCATTAAAGTTAATATTAATCAACGGTCAGGATTTTATCACGTTATTCGGTGCACGAATTTAGTGTATAACTTTCGGTAACTCTATCATTTTCCTTTTTTGATAATGTATAGGCTTCCTTTCACTTCTCTAAAGGATACCTTCTTCTTCTTCGAGTCTTTCACAGACGACGCCGCATTGCTTCTCATCTCCATTTCTGTGTGAGATAGAGGAAATAATTACAACAGAGAGAGAAATGTGAAGTCAGTTCTGGCTAGAAGTGATACTAAATGTTGATGCGTGATTTTGACACTAATCAAACGTACGTGTGAAATGCTGAGCTGGCACAGAAGACACACGTGGATGAAATAGTAAGAGTAAAAACAATGGAGAACATCGTTTAAAGTGGTTCGGATGCTAAGGAAGCAAATCCTACGTCCACTGATTTTGTATTAATGATGGTGGTCAAGTCGCGTTCAGCGGACTGACTTACAAATGATTATACAAGAGAGAGAATGTTATCTTTTCTTTAGAGTGATTAGCTAATCCCTCAAATGAGAGAGGAACTCTCAATTTATAGTGGGATGGATTAAGGTTATGATTACTAAATCTGTGAGTTGGTGGGATTATCCGTGCAAATCCTTATTTATGTCCCATTGCCCACCTTTTAGAGCGATTTACGCGATTTGGTGTAGTGATTAGACACGTGGAATCACTCTAGCTCCTAGCTGGTTTGACGCGCAACCATTACCCTGATAGGAGCATATCGCCCCTATCATTGTGTGACGTGGCTGCCTCTGAATGGCTGCGGACATACCTAAGCTTTGACTTTTCATGCTGACTGGGTCTTGGGTCAGCCCTACTTTTTCAAGCATAACATTGAAATTGTTTGAAATGATGTAAAGAGAAGAAAGTCTTATATAATGAGGGAGGGCCGGGATGCCCAAAGAGAAAAAGTAGGTTTATAAAAAACAATAATACTATATTTACAAAGAAATCTTATACTGCATGTTTGGCTTAATATTTTTATCCGTATTCTGGATCCTATTCTCCAAATAATGTTTGGCACAGTATTCCAGAAATATTACCCTATTTTTTTAATTACATTTAAACCCCATAAGGTTATTAATTTCACTAAAAACCCCCTGAAAAAAAAGTTTAAAAATTAACAAAAATACCCCCATCAACCCAACTTGTCAGATTCCGGCAACCACCGTCGGTGATAGCCGGAACTGTACAACGGCCTAACTTCCGATCAGAAATGGCCGGAAGTTCACCGATGTGGCCTTTTCCGGCTAGATCCACCACGGATCTGGCCGGAAAAGGCCAGATCTGGCCGTCAGCGACGGCCAAAGAAATGGCCGTCGTTGACCGAAAACGACGGTCACATCTTTGGCCGTCACTGACGGCCAAAGATGGCCGTCGTTTGGCCTTTTCCGACCGTCGACGGCCATAACAGACTGTAGATCTGGCCGGAAAAGGCCATAACGATGTGTTACGGCACAGATCCGACCGGTCTGTGCCGTAACGAAATTTTCAGGCCAGATTCCAGCGGTGGTGGCCGGAATCTGACACTGCAGGTGGTGGGGGTGTTTTTGTCATTTTATATATTAGGGTCTTTAGTTAAATTAGTAAACCTAAGGGCTTTTTCACAAATTTTTAAAATTTACCTCGTAATACTCTCCTATTCAATAACCCAATACTATCCCCAAAATCATATCCAAAATACTAAACCAAACACACCCATAAAGATTTTCATACAAAATGAGGTGATAAAAAATGAATAAAAGAGTGAAACAAAAAGTGAAACTCATTATATTCACTCTTTTATTTATTTGTTATTACATCACTTTGTATAAAAATCTTTGTAAAATTTTTTTGTAAGTGTAACATTATTCAATAAAAGAATATCTCGGGGCCTAAAGAGGAAGAAGGTTTCTAGCAAAAATAATCTCTAAGGGGCCCAAGGAGGATAAAAAGGTTTAAAGCAAAAAAGGTTTGACATTGTAAAGAGTGACGTGGTATTCCATGTGGCATACATTCACGTGGCATGTCATTCCATGTGGCATGAAATTCACGTGGCATGTGGGCCACGTTACTTAATACCCTCAACATTAAAATAAAAATTCAAACCAAAAATTCCCAATTTGTGGATAACCCTAATTTTACAAATCCTACCGCGGGACCACCACCCTCGACGGCTCCAACACCCTGAACGGCCGACGTCCCCAGCACCGCATGCGGAGGAGCACCGAAGCACAGGCAGACCACCACCGCCGTATACTACTGGAGCTCAAACACCACAGCCACCGCCGCTGAGCACCGAAGCCTTCAATACCACCACCAATATCAACCGTGCGACCACCACTCCCAACCGCTGCAACACCCTGAACGGCGGACCTCCCCACCAGGTAGTGCTTTATAGGAAAAGTTCAACTGCTTCTGCTGAAGGTAATTTTTTTCTTCTTGAAAATGGTTTTATTATGGTGTTTTTGTTCATTGATTCATGTATAAAAAACAGGAATTTATAATAATGTTTTCCCTATTATGTTTGTCGTTTGTTTTTGTTGGCTGGGTTAGTGAGTTAATTTCTTATTGTGTTTACTTCCAAAACTTAGGATTTGATAGAATAGGAACCTACATGGATGAGCCGCGCAAAAAAGCTGGAAAATCGTTTGTAACAATACATGTAACATGTTCCTAATTTTGTTGTTATGTTTATTTTTCCTGTGATTTGAATATTGCTGCTTGGATTTTGATATTGGTAGATAGTTTTCACAGGTTATTTTTGGTTAGAACATTAACTTTAGGAGAATGTCTATGAAGTTATAGGATTTTAGCTTTGTAAAAATCTTGGGTGAGTGCCCTGTACTATGTTATCTATACATTTGCATAATAAATCATGTAATGTATGCAATTGGGAAAACAAGTTTATCCAATATGTATTCTGCTGAAGATAGGTTAATAGCTCTTTATGTATTGTAAAACTTATTGTCTACAAAGGAGGTGTGCAGTTTCGGTGTTTGTCATGAAATCGATAATCTGGTTATATTGATGGGAATTATTAGTATAAAGTTCTGTTCAACTGTTGTTTTCTCCTATTTACCTTTAAATTTGTTTGTTTTGTTTAAGAACTATGCCTCACAGCTACTTCATTTGTATGTGTTGTAGAGGTGCAGAAGTAGTCAAACGTCCACTGAAGCGTCCAGCTCCTCCTCGCTTGGGAAGAAAGTTAACTGAGACTCAAAATGCAAGCGTCTTCTTGAATTTTACGAGTTGATCTAGCTATGGAATTTCAAGATGAAATCAATTTGCATACTCCTAAGTCAATACTAATAGCATATAACTTATTGAGAATTAGGTTATCTTTCGCACATTATGATTTTACAAACTCTCTTTCAAACCCAAAATTTTCTTCAAATCATTTAATGATGTGGTAGCTCATGTTGCAAATGTTGTGCTTGCCCTTAGTAAGTTTTGTTTTGCCAAAACTTTGCGTTACACCGTAGCAATTGTAAAGCATAGGTTAAGTCAATTTTTGACCGAATTTATGTTTTAGTAATATATCATTGAATGTCGATGCATGCTAATTAGAGAGCAAATGTTTGACACAATGTATCTTTTATTTAGGGTATTCTGTTTACATCATAAAAGAGAAAACTTGTTAGCTCATAGTAGAACAAAATGTGACAATGTTGATGGTGCTTCAAAATAGGGGAGCAGTCATATTCTTACTCCATGAGCTATTCGCAGCAAAGATCGTCCTCTATTCAAAAGAAAGTAATCAAAGGTTAAATAAATTGTTCGTAAAGTAAAAGAGAAGAAATTGCAAAAGCAAGAAAATGAGGATAAAGCTTGAAGGTAAAAACTTAGTAATAGTCCATTTTGTTGACTATTTTACTATTTTTATTCTATTTACTGATAAATAACACGGCTTGTATTATATAATTGCAGGATTGCTGGATACCGAAGCATGTGTGCCTCTTGTAGTTTGTTTAGGACTAATGTGGGTGTTACATGAGTAATGTGGTTTCATTTTACCTCTTACGTTGTATTACGGTGATTTCTCATGTACTAGCTCTATTTGTATTTTGGCTGTTGAATAGTGATTGAAATTTCAAATATTGTTGAATTTAAATTTGCATATTGGCTGGATTTGGAGAAAATGCAGAATTTTTTTGGTGCAGCTGAATTTTGATGCTGACTGGTGCAGCTGAATTTTGATGCTGACCTTTCTGGTGCTGCAGCNAAACATTAAAGAGTAAATAGAAAGAAATGAGAATATTAAAGAAATTCAAATCTGAATTTTTATTTAAAGAAGTGTAAAAAGATAAAAGAAGAAAATGTTGTTGCGATGGGGAACCCGTGAGTGACATAGCCCCGCATGCATGCCGTCTTTAGTGAGCAGCCTCAGAATTCAGAAAGAAGAATTGTGCAGTCCGTTAGAAGTGCATGTGGATGAAGACTGTACCCAGAATTAGAGAATACACTCACACGGTCAGGGTTCCAAATCCATGCCTCAACCGAGTCCGATCAGCAAGAAAGAATAGAAAGAAAGAAAGAAAAGAAAGAATAGAAAGAAAGAAAGAAAAGAAAGAAAGAATGGAAAGAAAGAATAGAAAGAAAGACTAGAAAAGAAAGAAAGAAATACAGAAAACAGAATAAGAAAAATGGAAAAGAAAATGCACATTCTATGCATTTGTGCATTTGCATCATATCTATGCATAATACCATGCCTATCATCTTGAATAGTGAGAAATTAGAAAATTGAGAAAAACAGAGAAAGAATAGAGAAAGAACAGAGAAGAATATAGAAGTGTGATGTAAGGAAAGAAATTCAGAATTTAAACAACTGAGAGAGAAGGGTAGCTTAGCGGGTTTACTTACTCAGCAATTAGTGCTCACCCCGTTGTTTTCAATGTTTTTGCAGGTAGTAGGTGAGATTGTTAGGAAATGACCCGGTTGCACAGCGGAAAACAAAATTTTATACAACCATAGATCGTTCCTTAAAGCCCAAAATTAAGGCACAAATTTTACAGTTTATGTATAATATCAAGAATCTGCAGAAGAATTAAATCTAAAGTTTAGATTCATACCCACGTTGGAGGCTCCACCAATATTGTCTCTAAACGTGTTTGTTACCGATCCAAGTGTAGGATCAAACCAAGAAGTCCACACGCAGACAACCACCAAGAACTAAGGAGGGATTTGCTAGATCCTCCTTGGCCTTAAGAAATCAAGAAGAAAAACCAAAGAAGAACTTTGATTCTTTGCAAAAGCAAAAGTGGCATGAGAGAGTATATTTGGGGCTGCTGTATTTTTCTTTTTAATCAAAATGAAATAATGAAAAAACCCTTTTTTAACTTTTAACTAAAACTTTTCTTTTATAGTGTTATTTTAGTTGCCCTATTCCCATATGGAATAAGCTTGGGCTAGAACCCAAACACCCCATGTTGCCAAACACTCCCAATTAGATATTTATTTTTATTCCATCATTATCTCAATTAAAATCAATTAATATATATTTAATATATATATTAACATTTAACAATAATGCTAATTTATTTAAATATATGCTAACACATATTTAAATGTAATTTCACTTATTTAATTTTTTCTAACAAATTAAATAAAAGGCTATGACCTCAGCAAATTTAATTGCACTGTGAAATTACCAAAATACCCTTTCGCCTAAAAAGACGAAAACGCCCTTCTTTCTTCTTGAGTCTTAAATTATCTTCTATGTGTGTGACCCATAGGCTCCTCATCATACCGGCAGTGTATAGTGTTGTGATTAACACCAATTAATTGTCTCACTAATACACAGACCAAGATTGACCCCTAGCAAGGCATCATGGCCACCTGATAGATTTAGATTCAGCAAAGTAGCTACCTGTCAACGATATGGTTACCGTACAATTTGATCCTTTCATCATTCGTTATCTCTACGAGATGAAGGCATAGAAATAGTGTCAACCTCCGGTTACTCTCAATATTATGTATTCAGTTTCTGGACCAATGACCTGTATTATAATCCAGATAGAGCAACAACTCAATCCCACTGTGGCCACAGTTTTAGTGTCATTGCCATATACTGAATTGCGCCGTGAGATAACTTCTCCCGTACCCGGGAGTGATGAATCCTCTGTCAATCCACCATAGTCTTGATACACTCCTTGAATGCAGCCAATCACCACTGTATTGATAAGCTCTGAATAGAACTGCAATGCGTTAGGCTATTGTCAAACTGCAAACCAATCGGTGCACAAGGCGCTTCAGTGATCTCAAGTCTAAGGATCACATCACCACCATTCGTTAGAGACTTGTTCCATAGACACTGGGGTTACCATCCATATGGAATCCTCTTGGGTCGTCCATAAACGTGTTGTGGTATATCGCCTATAACAAGCACACATGTGTTCACCAGTTGTCACACAAACAACCTTGACACTGGAACAGTCACCTGCCTTTCGACAGGGTCGTTCAACACTATGTAGCCTTACCCACGTATTATTTATGCCCTTACTTCATATAGATAATACAAGGGCTACAGAAAGTTTCTAGATGGCCACCATATGTGCTCATAGGGTTCTCACTATCAGATTGAAACACTTGATACCCTACCTCGCACGGTTCTCACCATTCTAAGACATATATCAATACATATTACAATAACAATGATTTACCGCTAAGAATAAAATGTCTTTTATTATTGATTAATGAACATTTACAAAGAGTCATTCTACAATAATTGATTGGCTCTAGGGCATCTACTTTAACAGAGATGCGGTGGCTTGGAACGTCACAGCAGCGAAGGGTTGGGCACACATGTCGAGTTAATGTTTTGTGACTTTATATTTTATAAAGATTTGTATATAAAGAAATTAGTATGGGCCCATTATTTTATATTCATCTACATGTATATTTTCTTATATATATTTAGTGAGTTTTACTGTTATTTTACAAGTATACTAGCTAGAGAGAAAGTATTACATTTTTGATATCAGAGCAAAAGTTTTGGGATTTGACAGTGTGTCTCTCCCACCGCATTGATGTTCCGTAGCCGACTGCTGTAAATTATTTCTTTCTTTACTTATAGTAGATGAGTTAATTGAGTTGACTAAAAGTGTTGGTGTTATGTAGATGAGACGTAGAACCCGAGCAAGCAATAGGAAGGAAATGAGTATGGGTGAACCTTCCAACCCTCCAGAATCTACTCCCCCTGTCCTCGATGAAGAGAGGATCCGTAATATTTTACAGCAAGTCTTGGTAGAGAATTGGGGAGGTTCTGTACCAGAGAGAATTGAGACCCCAATTATTGTACTGACCCCTAAAGAGGAGAGAGAGAGAGGCTGGTACCCCCGATAGCGTAGAATCGTATTGAGCCGATATATGGGTTGCCTAGTCAACACCAGCCGTCAGAATTTAGGAGTACGACAGACCCAATAGTGGCAGATGAGTGGTTTAGATCAGTGGAGCGTACGACGACACTTTTCCCTATGACAGACCGGGAGAAGATTCAATATGCAAGTTTTCTGTTTAGGGGTGATGCCCGTATATGGTGGGAATTGATGGAGGATACTCATGATATAGCCTCGATAACTGGGGGGATTTCAGAAGATTGTTTGAGGCAGAATATAGAACAGTTGATCGAGTTCATGAAAAGATTCAGGAGTTTATCAGTTTGCAACAGGGGACTAGCTCGCTCAATGAAAGAACATTTGGTGAAATTTAATTCCTTGGCAAGGTTTGCGCCAGGTGTAGTGAGTACACCAAAGTTGAGGAGGGATAAGTTCGTGCATGGGCTGAAACCAGAAATAGCCCAAGATGTGATGGCCGGTGCTTAGCCCCCTTAGACATACAGTGAAGCTTTGGAACAAGCCTTACGGGCAGAAATATTTGTGAATAAGCTAACCCCAACAACTCCATCAGCAATAGCCCCTAGTGTTCCACCTCCTGCTCCACAAAGAGATAGAGCTGATGTCCCTACTAATAGAAAGGTGAGAATAAGAAAAGATTTCAACCCAAGAAGAACAGAAGGGATTGGTAGAATAAAAGGCCGAGAACTGTTGAAGTTCCCCAGTGTCAGAAGTGTGGAAGAAATCATTCTAGGGAGTGTCTTAGAGATTTGGGGCCAAAATGTATGCTATAGATGTCGGCAACCAGGGCATATGATAAGAGATTGCAAAGCCCCCCTGCACTTGCAGCGCAGACCCTAGTTAGTAAATACGCGTATAAAACGCGTTTTAATGTATGTTATAAAAACTGTCGAATTATACGCGTATAATATGAATACCCGTATAATTCGCGAATTATTACAAAAAAAAAAAAAAAAAAAAACCATTGCTCACCCCAAAACGACGTCGTTTTAGTGGGGTTTAATTCAAAATTAAACAGAATCTCTTCTCTTCTTCGGTTCTTCTTTCTTCCTCAGTTCTTCAACGGATGATATTTTCAGCTTTTCTTCCTCAGTTCTTCGACATTTTCAGCTTTTCTGCCAATACTTTCCCTTCCTCAGTTCGGACGGCGAACTGGTTGAGATTTTTAATAGGTTTGTGTTTGTGTTTATGGGAGAAGAATGGCGAACTGGTTGAGATTTTTAATGGGTTTGCGTTTGCGTTTGCGTTTGTGTTTGTGTTTGTGTTTGTGTTTGTGTTTGTGTTTGTGTTTGTGTTTGGGTTTGGGGGAGAAGAATAAGTTTGAGGAAGGGAAAGTATTGGCAGAAAGAATAGCCTGTAAAGCTGATGTCATTGTCTCTGAAAGAAGCAGTTGGCCTTGTGGGTGAGCGTGAGACATTGAGAGATGATTTGATTGAAGAAGAGAGAGGAATGGGGGTTTTTAAGATGGGTCATGGGTGTTTTGTGTTTGTGGTGGATTTTAGTATACGTGTCAACACTCAACACTAGATTACGTTTCTATTGCACAAACAAAAAAATAAATAAATATCTTTTCTACTGGCAGGTTAGAACAAGACATGGGCCTGGGAATTTGTTAAGGCAAAGAAAAGATTAAGCAAAAGCAAAGATTTAATTGAAGTCAATGCAAAGATACATTAATAATTAATCCATAAAAGTGTTAAAATAAGGTTGATATTGCCGTTTTTTTCAAAACATATTATTGACAAAGTACCGT